GAGAGAGAGAGAGAGAGAGAGAGAGAGAGAGAGAGAGAGAGAGAGATTAAGAATATTTTAAAATTAATTAATGTTTCAATACATACACAAACCTTCCATACGTTTGATATCCCTCGCGGCTCTGATGTAGAAATAGCGACAAATCAACCCTAATATTAACAAAAATATTGCCGGAAATATGAGAAACCAATTGACGATTGCATTCAATATAAGACTCCCAAAAATTGAACATAAATTCTATGAGTATTTACAAAATATTAGTTTAAAAATCTAATTAAATTGCTATAAATTACAATAATTAAGTCAAAAGCAACCGATGGTAACAATTCGTCCACAATTCCCGTGTCTTTTGAAAATCTGTTTAGTATTCGTCCTAAAAATTATTGTTAAATAAATTGATTTATTAATAATTTAAATGATAGCAAAGAGTGTTAAGAGTGTTACCAATGGGTGAACTCTCGAACAGATGTATCGGTGATCGCAATAATGCATAGAATATTCGGTTATAGAGATTAACCGAAGATCTCATACACATTATGTAGAAATAGCGACAATTAAGAGTGTTACCAATGGGTGAACTCTCGAACAGATGTATCGGTGATCGCAATAATGCATAGAATATTCGGTTATAGAGATTAACCGAAGATCTCATACACATTATGTAGAAACAAATGGTGGACAACAGAGTGGACACAAACAGACCACAGGTTAGACTCGTGTAGACTATTAAGTTGAATGTCTGATTCACTTCATTGGGTTTTTTGCTCATTTCATTAGTCCTAATATATTGAATGAAATTAAATTAAAACTATTTTCAAATAATTATAATAATACTGACCATAAGCTCAACCAATAAACACTCTCCTGATTAAGGATTTGTGAAGTAATTATAAACAATATGGTAAGTGTTATGAGCAGAGGTCCGGCGCCGGCCTTAATGTACTCCATATAAACACTGGACTCAATGGTTCCAATCATTTTGAGTTCGGCCTTAACTTCCTGTTCGTCCGCTTCTATCGGTTCCCTAACGTCCGTCACTTCCGATTCTTCACTACGGGATGAGGCAATCGATGACGTGAGAGATGTCTTCCTTTTCATAGCTTTGCTATCATTTGATGCATCTGTTTGTCTCTGATATGCCATGAGATCAATGCCGCGCTCTTTGAGCTGATGGTAGGACCCGATGGCCACACACTCGCCGTCGTTGAGCACAAGTATTTGATGCGCGTCTTTGAGAAACTGGATTTGATGTGTGACTAAAATAGTCGCCTTGTCTTTCAGGTACTCAATACAACATCTGATTCAATGGTAAGAACTTTAGATAATAATTCAAATAACTGTAAATTACTTCTGGTAGATATGTTTGGCGACATGTGTGTCGACAGCACTCAAGGGGTCGTCCAGTAGATAGATGTCTGCCGAGTGGTACAGAGCCCGGGCCAGACTCAGCCTAGCCTTCTGTCCGCCACTCAATGCCAGCCCTCTCTCCCCCA